AGAAAGAAAGAAAGAAAGAAAGAAAGAAAGAAAGAAAGAAAGAAAGAAAGAAAGAAAGAAAGAAAGAAAGAAAGAAAGAAAGAAAATAATTCAATAAATAGTCAAGAAGACTTAGTTGGCGTTCTTCCTATGTTTAAAAGAGTTTCATGCAGTTGTATCTGCAGACAGGGCTCAACTGTTAAAAAAAGTTTATTCCCACGATTCGAGAGGACTGAAAATGGAACACAGCCTTCGAACTGCAACCTAAGGCTGGAGGATATAATATAAGGAAAAGACGTAAGCTCGAAAAGCTATAAAATACACAAAGAACTGATCCAGCCATGGGAACCTCTTTTGCTAGAAATAACATCTGTGAACTTTACTTAGCACTCATCCCTCTTCAAAACGACATAAAAGTAGGAAGTTTCCTGGCCAATTGTTCACTCATTTAAATTTATGCCCAGTGGGATATTATAGTCACACAGCGCTCGAAAAGAAAACATTCTGCCAGCTTTCCCTGGTGGGCTGTCCTTCGGATGTGATGTGATTGTAACTCTCAGAATTCCTTGCAAAACATGGGAAATGTTGGAAGGCCATCAGGATTTCGAGCTTGAAAAATTAATCCAAAACTAAGGAAGCCAGAACTGAGCAAATATCAAAGCTACTTTCTTATATCTTAAAGCATGTTTTATGACCATAATAGGGACTGGAATTTTCAGTTGCTAAGCTATGTGGTCATTAAGAAAACCATTACCTGACCTGATTTTATGACTTTTTTTTTTACCGTGGCTGTTAAGCGAACGTATTTGTTAAGTAAATCACATGGCAGTTAATTGAATCCGGCTTTCTCCAATGACTTCACTTGTCAAAAGCCAGCTGGGAAGATTGCAAATCACAATCAACGAGGCCTTGGGGACACTGTGACCATTGTACATGCTAGTTGCCAAGCCTCCAAATGTTGACCTGGGGATTACGGGGATGCTGTGATGGTCATAAGTGCGAGGAACAGTTGTAAATCACCGTATTCAGGGCCATCATAACTCTGAACCACTGTAAGTAATTAAGTAAGATGTAAATAAGATGAATAGGTAACTATGGTCACGTTTGTGTGGAGATGTGAAACCTGGAACCACACTGCTTGCCAAATGAGAATTTTTATTTAAAAAATAGGGGAAGAAATTGAATAATGAAATTACTAGGTATGTCTAAATGATATGGTGATTGGCACTGAGAGAGAGTATTGAAATGTTGAAAAATTTAGTAATGCAGGATTATAATTTAATGTGAATATGTGTATTAAGAGATGTGGCTGGTTTTAACAATTTTCCTTGTACTAAAATGTATGATGTATTGGTGCCATGCTGTTTATGCACTGATATGTATGTGTAAATTGAAATAAAAAACTTGATTAAAAAAAAAACTCTGAACCACTGTTAAACAAATGGCCAGGGATTATCTGTATTCAGCTACAGACAAGCCCATGTTATATTAGACAAGCTTGCAATTATATTATTCTACTGCCTTTCCCCTACGTTATTAATCAGTAGCTGAACTATCTGGGGTATTCAATCTATGTTTCCCAACCCCAAATAATTTATTTGGCTTTCATTAAAATGAAGCACTTTTGACTGTCTTTACTATTTCCCATCAAGCTCGAAAGAAGTTTCCCATAAGTTATTTATAGCAGCGGCAACTGTATGGGGATGTCTGTCATGAAAATATCCCATTTCCTTCTTCACTGCACTAATCACAGGAACTCGAGTGATGACATAAGTTGTTTTATTTTTTATGGCGAGGCTAATTAAATGTGATATACATCCAGCAAGAACCCGAAGCAGGTCGTAGGATTTCTGAAGGAAAGGTTATTAAATGAACAGTCTGCTAATCAGCCCTCCTTTAATTAAGCTTTAATGAGTGATTCATTTCTTCTCAAATTTTGAAGTTCGTGGTCCAGGAATATAACTTATGGAGTGCAATACTGTTATACACATCATTATCAGCGCTTAGATGAACTAACGTGCAGTCATGCTGGATACAGGATTCACCAAATGGCCACCATCTTGTTCATGGAAAAGAGCATCTTTTCTGTTAGACTGGAACAAATGTCTCAAAGCTAAGCTTCTGTTCAGCTTTGTGTAAACTAAAATGCAAATTAGCTGACCATAGGAACATACTACCTAGTCAAACTTACTAATGTAGTTTCTGTCACTGAAGAAGAACAGAACTGAAGATGCTTCTTGGATGAGACGCAAAATGTCTTCAGAGAAAAACAACATCCAATTTGCCTTTTGAAAAAGCACCTTTGGGATAAGCTTAGAAAGATGACAATTTCATAGCCCATCAGAGTTAAAGATAATTGGAAGAAAAATTGGAAGCTCTCACCTGATCCTTAAACTCTCCCCATAAGGCAGGATAGAAAAAGCCACACAAAGGGTTCGTTTTGCACAAATCAACACTATCCTGAAAAGAAAGGGAAAGAATATTGTGAATTATAGTAGCATTTTAATTCCTAATGAGCTGGATCGATAGCTCTTTTAACTCGGGTTTTTATTAAATAGCTTTCTGTGAGCAATTAGAAGTCCACGTTTTTATTTTTTTTAAATGCAGCTATTTCATACTTTCACTAATGCAAGATTTAGAGAAATAACTTGTCCAGTTTTCAACAGAAGTAACCATCTTCGCTGAATGACCTTCACTGAGGAAGACTTACACAATATTGGTGAAACATTTAGTTGTCACGTTGGAGTCTCTAAATTCCACTTCCCAATTATAAGATAACCTTTAGTGTCATTTTTTATTGCGGCACACATTAAAAATGAAATTCTGTTGCCTCCTCTCAAAAGTGTACACATACAGACATGCCATATACATGCCTATATACACCTACACTTTTACATATAAATATTAATCACTGTCCATCTTGTCTACATAGAGTTCACAAGGTTGATATTGTAAAGAACAAAATCTGAATCTGGATGTTCTGCTTCAGATGCCATGAAGCCCCCTCCCAGAAGGTAACAAGGAAAACAGATCATGAAGAGGATGTATCATAGCATCCCAAGTAAAGGTAAAGATTCCCCTTGCACATACGTGCTAGTCATTTCCGGCTCTAGGGGCCGGTGCTCATCTCCGTTACAAAGCCGAAGAGCCAGTGCTGTCTGAAGACGTCTCCATGGTCATGTAGCCGGCATGACTAAATGCTGAAGGCGCACGGAATGCTGTTTTACCTTCCCACCAAAGTGATCCTTATTTTTCTACACGCATTTCTACATGCTTTTGAACTACAGAAGCTGGGACAAGTAACGGGAGCTCACTTCGTTACCTGGCACTAGGGATTCGAACCGCCAAACTGCTGGCTTTTTGTGATCGACAAGCTCAGCGTCTTAGCCACTGGAGCCACTGCATCCCTTAATCCCTGCTCAAGCATCACTTATATGCTAAGTCCTGGATAGAAGGGAATGAACTGCCAATAATCTTTTCTGCCACCTCACCACTCTCCTCACAATTTTCCATGCTTCAGAAGTTACTAGAAGACTGGAGTGTAACTACCTCATTCACTCCACCAGAAGAAAATCAGGAAAGTGAGACAATTCTCCCTTCCCAGAAAAAGTTATCAAGGAAGAAAAAAAAATGGAGAGCAAGAGCCACTGTTTCTCCAACTTTTCAACCAAAGTTTGTAACTTTAGTTTAATCCGGAAATTCCTGGAAATCTCTTCCCTAGTAAATGGGTACATGTGTCACATAACTGTGAGCATACACCTATATGGCAAAACAATTGGGTCCAACTGAGAGACAATTTGGTCTCATGGTTAAAGCACCAGGCTAGAAAGCAGGAGATTGTGAATTCTAGTCCCACCTTAGTCATGAAAGCTGGCCGGGTGGCTTTGGTCCATTTATACCCTTCTCAGCACAACCCACCTCACAGGATTGTTGTTGTGGAGAAAATAGGAAGAAGGTGGATATATATTCACCCCCTTGAGTATGAGCCTCGGTGGTGCAGCGGTTAAGAGTGCAAGTACTGCAAACTACGGCTGCTGGCTGCCTGCAATTTGGTAGTTGAAATCTCACCGGGTTCAAGGTTGACTCAGCCTTCCATCCTTCTGAGGTGGGTAAAATGAGGGCCCAGATTGTTTGGGGCAATAGGCTGATTCTGTAAACTGCTTAGAGAGAGCTGTAAAGTACTATAAAGCAGAATGTAGGTGTAAGTGCTATTGCTATTATTTGTGTAAATAATAAAGGTGGGAAATAAATAATAAAACTAAACTAAATAAACTAAACTTAAACTTAAAATAAAACAATCCTAAAGTAAAACAAAATAAAAATAAAATCTCTGCCATTAGTCAGAGAAAACCAGTAAGCTACAGCTAAGAGACCCAGCAGAACCGCCATCTCACTCTTTCAGCTATTTTGTTCCTCCAATGATCTGTGAACCAAAATTTGCATGAATTTGCCCAGAGATAAAAGGTCACCTGCTGTTCCGCGTGTCGTATTGCCTCATATTCTTGATGAAATGTACTTTCTTCAAGCCTTTGTGTCGCGGAGATCCAGATACGTGCTTCGTTCTACATTTCAAGAAAAGAAAAAAAAAAGAACAAATATGCAAATATATGTGATTATCAAAACCCTTCACGGATAACAAAAGGACTGCAGATGTCATAGTTGGATCAAGCATGCATGCTTAGGTTTGGGTTTTTATTTTTTTGGCTTGAATGAGGGTGGTTGGAAAAAAAGGACTTGCAAAGCATGCAATGGAAGGTTAATGCTGCTTTTGACAAGTACCTGCGTGCACTGGCACATCCCACTACGTCTTCTAAAAACTCTAGAGAGCAGCGCTGGGAGATAAAACGCCTTCTGCAAAAATGCACAACAGCACGAAGAGCGAATCATATTAGTTCATGGCCTCCAAGAACTGCAAATGGTCAATCTCTAAGCGTACCCCCATACAGGTAGTCCTTACAACCTCTTGTTTAGGGACCGTTCAAAGTTACGTCACTGAGAAAATCCTGACTTATGACCGTTTTCCCACCCTTGATGTTTGCAGCATCCCTGGGGTCACGTGATCAAAATTCAAACGCTTGGCAACTGGTCTGTATGGTGGTTGAGGTATCCCGGGGTCACGTCCCCTTTAGTGACCTTCTGACAAGCAAATTCAATGGGGACGCCAGATTCATTTAACAATCTTGTGACTAACTTAACAACTGCGGCGATTCACTTAGCAACTCCGGCAGGAACGGTCCTAAAACGGGACCAAAAGTCACTTAGCAATTGTCTTGCTTAGCGAAGGAAATTTGGGGTTCAGTTTTCGTCCTAAGTTGAGGACTACCTGTATGGTCATTTTCCCACAAGTAATCTGGAACTCTGGCCTTTCACACCATTATGGCCACCAGATGGACTTTTTTGGACCACTGCCTGTGAAGACCCCTGCAACAAACTCTAAACGTCAGAGGTAGCAACCCTGGGCCTTGCAAAATACAGTATTGTGGTACATATTTTTGGGAACAGAATGATCCTCCTCTTGGGAAGAGGCAGTGAAGCCAACATACTCCAAGAGCATATCTTATTAAAAAAAAAAACACTGAGTCATTTTTTGATGAATTTTCCCACATTTCTCCTTTAAAATAGCATAATAGGACACACAGCATGAAAACCACCGATTGAGAACAGTCTGTTAAGAACAAAGCTCATTATTCTGTTTCCGTTTGTGAGCGGCCTTCAACTGTTTAGGAAAACTCTTCAGGGTTTCTTTTTCCCCCTCCTGGGATTTTACGTAAATATCAAGCCTGTATTTTTAATCATTAGTAGCCCCAGCATTTCTTTGCCCTAGCTTTTCATGTGGAAACAACAGTCTTCAAAAGTCATGCTTCAGTGGTTATTAGTACTTGCCAGAAGAGAAGAAAGGAAATTATTTATAGACTATTGATGTTTTTTTAAAAAACAGTTGTTGCTAGGAAGTCCAGGCGTAGGTCAAAGACAAAGGATTTCCTATCAGTTCATCATAAATGGGTATTGGTCGAAGTACAATTGCTCTGAAATGTAAATAAGACTACATTCTTGTCTTATTAATACTATTGGCAAACAAAATCGTTATCATTCCTAGCCCAGCACTGATTCTCTCTAAAAATATATTGATCTCTTTAAAAAAACAAACGAACACTGACCGAACAGTTTGCTTTAAAATTGGTTTAAGAATATACCAGATCATATCAACAGTAATTATCACTGTTTTTAGTTAATAATAATGATCACTTTTGTTTTGCTAATAGAATATGACAGGGAGGCAACAGGCTGGATAAGTTAATTACAATTCATTAGATTACATTGTCTTACTGTATTTGTATACTTTTTGAGCAAGTGGAATTTTTTTAAAAACCCAGATTGGTCTAGTGGCTAAGGCAATAAGACTAAGCCTTAGGGGTTAAAAGGGACTATGAGTTCAAGTCCTGCCTTAGCCATGAAAGTCAGTGGGGTGACTTTGGGCCTGTTACTCTCCCTCAGCCCAATTCACCTCATGAGGTTGCTGTTGTGCGGAAAATAGGAGGAGCATGTGTTTATATTTGCCGTTTTATTTGTAAAAATAATAAAGTCAACCAATCAACATTCTACAAGTGATAGCTTAAATTTAAGGAATTTAATATGGAGCAAACCATGAAGACCAATAAAGGGGAATATTTGTGGCTCTGGGCTGACATCAGAGGTCCTTGATGCTCTCTGAGCTTTCTTATTTTCTTGCAGATGTTTCATTACCCAAATTAGGTAACAAATTAGTTATGTTTGATGATGATGATGTTACCTAATTTGGGAAATGAAACATCTGCAAGAAAACAAGCAAGCTCAGAAAGCACCAAGGCCCCTCAACCTATGAAGAAAATGATTTTGTAGTGTGATTTCTCAGATAAAATTATTATTCTATCCTGTCTTCTCCTTATTTCCAGGTTAAATCTCTTCTTGTTCAGTTTCCATCCATTATTCCTTGTTTGGCCTACAGGTACTTTAGAAAATAGCTTGACCCCTTCCTCCTCTCTGTGGCAGCCCCTCAAATATTGGAAGACTGCTATCCTGTCTCCCCTGGTCCTTCTCTTCACTAGACTAGCCAAGCCCAGTTCCTGTAACCATTCTTCATGTTTTAGTTGCCAGTCCCCTAATCATCCTGGTTGCTCTTCTCTGAACTTTTTCTAGAGTCTCAACATCTTTTTTATAATGTGGTGACCAAAATTGGATGCAGTACTCTAAGTGTTTTCTTACTAAGGCTTTATAGAATGGTATTCGTACTTCCCTTGATCTCGATTGTATCCTTAGAATTGCAATTTAGGATTGCATTAGCTTTTTGGGCTGCTGCTGCACACTGCTGGCTCATATTTAGCTGGTTGTCCAAAAAGATTCCAAGATCCCTCTCACAGTTCCTGCTATTGAGCCTGGTTTCACCCAGTCACTATGTGTACTTTTGGTTTTTCTTGCCTAAGTGTAAGACTTTACATTGAATTTCATTTTGTTAGCTACAGCCCAGTGTTCTACTCTGTCAAGATCCATCTGGATCTTGAGCCTATCTTCTTGGGTGTTAGCTATTCCTACCAGCTTAGTATCATCTGCAAATTTGGTAAGTTCCCCTTCTATTCCCTCATCTAAGTTGTTAATGAAGATATTGAAGTCTACTGGGCCTAAGACAGAACCTTGTGGCACCCCACTGCTTACTTCCCTCCATGTAGACTTAGACCCATTAAGGACTACTCCTTGTGTATGGTTTGTCAGACAATTGTGAGTCCATCTAGTGGTATTGCTATCTATTTCACTTTTTTCTAGCTTACTAAGAAGTAGGTTGTGGTCTACTTTGTCAAATGCCTTGTTGAAATCTAAGTATATTACGTCCACAGTATTTCGCTAGTCTACTAATTTAGTCACTATGTCAAGGGACTACCTGTACCATGATTCTCTGTGTTGTAAACTTAAAGACATACCCGGTCCGAAAACCAGGTTTGCTAACTGGCCCGCACACACAGACACACAAAAATATGATATAGTGTTGAAACAATGACAAGTCCCATACAGTCTTTATAAGAATACTCATTGGAAGGCAGGGATATAGGGGGAAAAAAGAACTGGCAGGAAGAGAGAGATATATTAATTAAATCCCAGGTAATGGTATCAAGAAATCATGGTTATGGTTGAACACTTCTAGCAATTGAAACATTAAAAATAAAAACCCTGTGATTATATGTCAAGGCATGGAAAACCGTATCAGTAAAGGAAGATTTCATTCATCAAATTTAATGGCATATTGTGCATTCAGTATAAATGTCAGCCTTCATGAAAAATAATTCTTTAGCAGCAGATGAATAGCTGCACAAGCTAGCTGGCCAACAGCTCCTATAATCAAAGAAGAGCTTCAGACATTTTAAAAAATAAGATTTATGATCTAAGCACAAACCCTTGGTGATGTTGCTGGGATTATTAACAGGTACAGTAACGGGCGAATGATGTTTGTTAGCCTTAACTTTATTAAAGCTAAAGAGTGAGGGGAAAAAAATCCTCTGAGTTATATAGCTAAAGTGTTAAAGCAAAATGCAAGAGCCAAGGCTAAAAACTGCCATTCTTTTTTATTTATTTATTTATTGTGGTGGGGTAGAAGTCTGAGAAATAGGAATAAAAAGACTTGCTGGCTCACGTTTTTAGGAAAATCGTGTTCATACATTGTATTTTGCTGCTTGAAATGTTTGTATATTTTACCACGGGAAAAATATGGGACATTCCTGATGACACTGAAATATTGCAGCAGACAGTGCCATCTCTGGAGAATTAGACTGAAAGTTGCATGAAATCCACAGGCAACCCACGGATTACCCAGCCTCTGTACCATAGCATCATTTTTCAACTTGGACAACTTTAAGTTGGACTTCAACTCCCAGAATTCCCCAGCCAGGGGAAGCTGAAGTCCACACATCTTAACGTTAGAACAACAAACTTAGGAAGGGACCTTGGAGATCTTCTAGTCCAACCTCCTGCTTAAGCAGGAGACCTGACACCATTCCAGACAAATGGCTGTCCAGTCTGTTCTTAAAAATCTCCAGTGATGGGGCAGCCATAACTTTTGGAGGCAAGTTGTTCCACTGATTGATAGTGCTCACTGTTGGAAAATTTGTTCTTAGTTCTAGGCTCCTTTTCTCTCCATGATAAGCTTCCAATCATTGTTTCTTATCTTGCCATCTGGTGCTTTGGAGAATAGGTTGACCCCCCTCATCTTTGTGGTAGCCCCACAAATACTGGAACGTTGCTGTTTTTCAAACTGTTTGAAAAACACTGCAAGACCCTTGATTAACATCTCACGAAGGGCACCATTTCTCTGCTATACTGTTTATTTACTTGGCAAATACATGGATTTATAGTGGTTCAAATGTTAATGTCCAGTCCACCCAGCCATTCAAGGACAGGGTGGTCTATGTTGACAAAATCAGACATTGGATCCAGTGGTGCATTTCAAAACTTTTTTTACCACCAGTTTGGCGGGCATGCTTTGCACACACACTTTGTGCAGGCGCAGAGGCTTCCCGACTCGCCTCCTCCAATCCTG